AAAGAAATAAGACCCATCTATTTGCTGTCTACAAGAGACTCATTTTCGACCTGAACACATTCAGATTGAGAGTGAGGGGATGGAGAACTATTTATTATGTTACTGGAACTAAAAAGAAAGCTGGAGTAGTCATACTTATATCAGACAAACTAGACTTTAAATTAAAGTCTGAAACAAGAGATGAAGAAGGGCATTATATAATAATCATAGGGTCTATCCATCAGGAAGAGCTAACAATTATAAATGTCTATGTGCCGAGTACAGGACCCCCCAAATACATAAAACAATTACTCACAAACATAAGCAACCTTATTGATAAGAATGTGGTCATTGCAGGGGACTTTAATACTCCACTTACAACAATGGATAGATCATCTAGACACAGGATCAATAAGGAAACAAGGGCCCTGAATGATACATTGGATCACATGGACTTGACACATATATTTACAACTCTGCATCCCAAAGGAACAGAATATACTTTCTTCTGGAGTGCACATGAAACATTCTCCAAGATGGATCACATACTGGGTCACAAAACAGCCCTTCATAAGTTTACAAGAATTGAAATCATACCATGCATACTTACAGACCACAATGCTATGAAGCTTGAAATCAACCACAGGAAAAAGTCTGGAAAAACTCCAAAAGCATGGAAGTTAAAGAACATCCTACTAAAGAATGATGGGTCAACCAGGAAATTAGAGAAGAAATTAAAAAATATATGGAAACAAACGAAAATGAAAATACAACAATCCAAACGCTTTGGGATGCAGCGAAGACAGTCCTGAGAGGAAAATACATTGCAATGCAGGCCTATCTCAAGAAACAAGAAAAATCCCAAATATAAGATCTAACAGCACACCTAAAGGAAATAGAAGCAGAACAGCAAAAACACCCCATACCCAGCAGAAGAAAAGAAATAATAAAGATCAGGGCAGAAATAAACAATATAGAATCTAAAAAACTGTACATTAGATCAATGAAACCAAGAGATGGTTTTTTGAAAAAAATAAACACAATTGGTAAACCTCTTGCCAGGCTTCTCAAAAAGAAAACGAAGATGGCCCAAATAGGTAAAATCATGAATGAAAATGGAATTATTACAACCAATCCCTCAGAGATACAAGCAATTATCAGAGAATACTATGAAAAATTATATGCCAACAAACTGGACAACCTGGAAGAAATGGACACCCTATTTCTTAATTCCTAACACCTACACACTTCCAAAACTCCCACAGGAAGAAATAGAAAGCTTGAACAGACCCATAACCAGCGAAGAAATTGAATCAGTTATCAAAAATCTCCCAACAAATAAGATCCAGGACCAGATGGCTTCCCACGGGAATTCTACCAGACATTTAGAGCAGAGATAATACCTATCCTTCTCAAGCTGTTCCAAAAAATAGAAAGCGAGGGAAAACTTCCAGACTCATTGCATGAAGCTATCATTACTTTGATTCCTAAAGCACACAGAGACCCAGTAAAAGAAGAGAACTACAGGCCAATATCCCTGATGAATATGGATGCAAAATTCGCAATAAGATACTAGCAAATCGAATTCAACGGCATATAAAAAGAATTATTCACCATGATCAAGTGGGATTCATTCCTGGGATGCAGGGCTGGTTCAACATTCGCAAATCAATCAACGTGATACATCACATTAATAAAAGAAAAGAACCATATGATCCTGTCAATCGATGCAGAAAAAGCATTTGACAAAATTCAGCATTCTTTCTTAATAAAAACCCTTGAGAAAGTCGGAATAGAAGGAACATACTTAAACATCATCAAAGCCATCTGAAAAGCCCACAGCTAATGTCATCCTCAATGGGGAAAAACTGAGAGCTTTCTCCCTGAGATCAGGAAAATGACAGGGATGCCCACTCTCACCTCTGTTGTTTCACATAGTGTTGGAAGTGCTAGCATCAGCAATCAGACAACAAAAGGAAATCAAAGGCATCAAAATTGGCAAAGAGGAAGTTAAGCTTTCACTTTTTGCAGATGACATGATATTATACATGGAAAATTCGATAGACTCCAGCAAAAGTCTGCTAGAACTGATACATGAATTTAGCAAAGTCGCATGATACAAAATCAATGTACAGAAATCAGTTGCATTCTTATACACTAATAATGAAGCAACAGAAAGACAAATAAAGATACTGATCCCATTCACAATTGCACCAAGAAGCATAAAATACCTAGGAATAAACCTAATTAAAGACGTAAAAGATCTGTATGCTCAAAACTATAGAAAGCTTATGAAGGTAATTGAAGAATATATAAAGAAATGGAAAAACATTCCCTGCTCATGGATTGGAAGGATAAATATTGTGAAAATGTCAATACTACCCAAAGCTATCTACACATTCAATGCAATCCCAATCAAAATTACACCAGCATTCTTCTCGAAACTAGAACAAGCAATCCTAAAATTCATATGGAACCACAAAAGGCCCCGAATAGCCAAAGTAATTTTGAAGAAGACCAAAGCAGGAGGCATCACAATCCCAGATTTTAGCCTCTACTACAAGGCTGTCATCATCAAGACAGCATGGTATTGGCACAAAAACAGACACATAGACCAATGGAATAGAATAGAAACCCCAGAACTAGACCCACAAAAGTATGGCCAACTAATCTTTGACAAAGCAGGAAAGAGTATCCAATGGAAAAAAAGACAGTCTCTTTAACAAATGTTGTTGGGAGAACTGGACAGCAACATGCAGAAGGTTGAAACTAGACCACTTTCTCACACCATTCACAAAAATGAACTCAAAATGGATAAAGGACCTGAATGTGAGACAGGAAACCATCAAAATCCTAGAGGAGAAAGTAGGGAGAAATCTCTCTGACCTCAGCCACAGCAAATTCTTACTTGACACATCTCCAATGGCAAGGGGATTAAAAGCAAAAATGAACTATTATGACCTCATGAAGATAAAAACTTCTGCACAGCAAAGGAAACAATCAACAAAACTAAAAGGCAACAGACAGAAAGGGAAAAGACATTTGCAAATGACTTATCAGACAAAGGGCCAGTATCCAAAATCTATAAAGAACTCACCAAACTGCAGACCTGAAAAACAAATAACCCAGTGAAGAAATGGGCAGAAAACATGAATAGACACTTCTCTAAAGAAGACATCCGGATGGCCAACAGGCACATGAAAAGTTGCTCAACGTCACTCCTCATCAGGGAAATACAAATCAAAACTACACTCAGATATCATCTCACACCAGTCAGAGTAGCTAAAATGAACAAATCAGGAGACTATAGATACTGGAGAGGATGTGGAGAAACGGGAACCCTCTTGCACTGTTGGTGGGAATGCAAACTGGTGCAGCCGCTCTGGAAAACAGTGTGGAAGTTCCTCAAAAAATATAAAATAGACCTACCCTATGACCCAGCAATATCACTGCTAGGAATTTACCCAAGGGATACAGGAATGCTGATGCATAGGGGCAATTGTACCGCAATGTTTATAGCAGCACTCTCAACAATAGCTAAATTATGGAAAGAGCCTAAATGTCCATCCACTGACGAATGGATAAAAAAATTGTGGTTTACATACACAATGGAATACTACGTGGCAATGAGAAAGAATGAAATATGGCCTTTTGTAGCAACGTGGATGGAACTGGAGAGTGTTATGCCAAGTGAAATAAGTCATACAGAGAAAGACAGATACCATATGTTTTCACTCTTATGTGGATCCTGAGAAACTTAACAGAAGTCCAGGGGGGAGCGGAAGGAAGAAAAAAGAGGTTAGAGAGGGAGAGAGCCAAAGCATAAGAGACTCTTAAAAACTGAGAACAACTGAGGGTAGATGGGGGGTAGGAGGGAGGGGAGGGTGGGTGATGGGTATTGAGGAGGGCACCTTTTGGGATGAGCACTGGGTGTTGTATGGAAACTAATTTGACAATAAATTTGATATTCAAAAAATAAAAACAAAACAAAACAAATATACTTTTAAAATTAAACTGCACTCATACAACTTTTTAACATAACTCTATTATTCTTCAAAATTACTTTTAATGGTACAAACTATTTCATCATAATAATGTAGCAATTTATTTCACTAGTCCTCTTGGTAGATATTTCATTTTGTTTCCAATTTTCTGATATTATGATATCATAATGAATAGTTGTGCAGATCACTGATAATTTCATTAAAATACATTCATAAAATTTTATTATGTGATATAATTGTATGAAAATTTTATGGTTTTTATGTATGTTGTTAAATTGCCATAAAAATGATATATGACTTTATACTTACATCAGCAGCACATAAAAGTACTTGTTTCAACATGTCTTTATGAATACTGGGTACTATAATAATAAAAAGTGGCTGCTTTAGTAGACAAAAATTGATATTTTGTGGTATTTAATTTATATTTCTAGTAAAGCTGGACAATTTTTATGTTTATTCTTCATTTTAACTTTTATTTGATGATTGCATTGTTTATCCATTTTCTAATGGTTGTATTTTCTTCCTTTCTTATTTGCAAGATTTTTGTAAATTAAGGTTGTTAAATTTTGTGTGTTACATGTTTTGCAAATATTTCTACAAGTTTGTGTTTTCATTTGGAAGGAAATATTTAGAATCAGTGCTTTTTCTGTAAAAATGTTGCAACAATTTTTTTAATCTACAAAAATTTGAGCCCAAATTAAAAAATGTTAGCATTTGTTAATTATAAGTTGTAAATAAATGGGTATTTACTTTAACTTAAAAAAATTTGTGGAGATAGAGTGCTATGCACATGAATTCTATTAATGTCTACAGAAAGGGAGACACTTTATAAGGGTTATTAGTCGAGCTTTATAAATTATATATAGAACTTCTACTTAATGTGAATAATACAAGAGTGAAGCATTTAACATCTTGTTCACCAGAGCAAGAACTTATTTCTTTTCTAGTACTGCTTGCAAGACTGCCTCTTAGCAGTCCAAGTAACACTCTATGTGCCTCCTTCAGAATACTGACCTGAGAGATGCAGGAAATGTGTAAACTGCTATGTTTCTGTTTCCACAGCAAGAGATGATGAAACTTCTGGATAATCTGTAAGATTGAAAAGTGAAGGTGATCAAATGACCCTTTCTCTTGTATGGGTGAGTATTCATTCACCAGTATATTTCCTTTTGTTTAATCCCCGGAGACAGCAGACATCTACCGATCTTTAAGGACTGGTGTGTTATACCACAGCATTTGTAACCAGTTGAGATATTCACATTCTAAAAGTAGTCAGGCTGATGTACAATAAAATAAGATTATTTTATTTATAAGCATTATCTGATCTATAATACTGGCAGGTATTTGACTTAGATAGCTGTGATGGCAACTCAACATCATCCAGCTTTAATGGGATGCTTTGAGTCTTGCTACTCACAAAATTACCCTATCTCGTGTTTTTACACTGTACATAATTGAAATAACTATTAAAGTACTTTCAGTGTTGCTGTGTTTCTAAAAAGGAATGGGGTATCTAGAAAATAAGAGGCGTTGGAATTAACAAGCAATGCCATTTATGGTACAAATATTTGTGTTTTTTTTTTTCCTAACCCGAGCATTTTGGGGGAGTAGAGTACACTCCGAATCAGCTTGCTTAATGTACAGATAATCACTTTCTTTATACTTCTTGCATAATAATGTACCTGGCAGTTTGAGATTTAAAAGTGTTGAAAGGGAGAAAGGAAAATGGCAGCAGAATAGGAGGACCCTAGGCATGTCTTGTCCCATGAACACAACTAGATAACTAGTAAATCTTCCTAAATACACCAGAAATAGAATTGAAGACTGACAGAACAACTACACAACTAAAGGGAGAGAAGGGGACACATGGAAGAAGGTAGAAAATGGGAAGACATGGTTCAGGGGAGAAACAGATCATAGTTGCTGCAGAGAAGAGGGAACCATGGTTGCAGAGAAGTGTGAGAGGGAGAAAAGCACACAGGGATATGCACAAAGAGAATGTTTCCCCAAAACCATTGACTTGGAAACGGAGAGGGGCTGAATTTCATGAGTTCTTGCAAACAGCAGAGCTTAAACCTTCGTGGTTTAAAGATCAGCAGCTTGGCCTAGGCAAAGCCCGGAGGGTACTGTGTTGCTTTTGGAGAGAAGGCAGGCAAACAACCCAGGGGTAGATACTATGGAAACAATGATCTGAAGAATGGGGCATACAGGGGTAATATTATTCAATCTTCTAAGAGCACATCTCTGAGAGGCAGCATTCACAGAGATGCCTGTCCAGGAACAAAGGAGCTGGCTGGCACCATTTATCTCCCCCACCCCTCAGCATAAGTACAGAGCCACCTGCAGGAAACAGAGCAGTGCTGTCATTGGCTGCCAACTTGCTTACACCAAGCCCCATACCCCTGCACACTGGTGGGACTGCACTTCTCAGTCACGTTTGCCTCAATCCCAGCACAGCTGACCCCTCCCCCAGAAGACCACCACAAACCCCAACCCAGAATATATCTCCAGACCAGAGTTCTGCAGGGCCTCAGTTTTGGTGGAAGTGGTGTCAGGTCTCATTTCACAAGCAGACCAGAGCACATCTAGTTAAAACTCACCTCATTTAGGACAGGGACCAAATATTGCCCACTGCAGGCAAGGAGAGCCTCCACAGACGACTGGCCTGAAGGATAGAGCAGCCAAAACACAACAGTAGAGTGCATGAAGCACACACCAGAGACACTTCCTGAGCATCAGGCTCTGGGCACTACATGACCTCCTCATCATAAAGCCATTATATTCAGGACAAGGAGAAATAACTGGCTTTTCTACACACACATATAGGCAGAGACTGAGACAAAATAGAAGGACAGGGGAATCTATCATAAATGAAAGAAGAAGATAAGGCCACAGCCAGAGATCTAAGTGAAACAGATATAGGTAACATGCCTGCTGGAGAATTTAAAGCAATGATCATAAGAATACTCACTGGGCTTGAGAAAAGGATGAAGACATTAGGGAATCCATTACCACAGAGATAAAAGAATTAAAAAACAATCAGAAATGAAGAATGCAATAAATAAGATCGGAAACAGGCTTAATGCAATGGAGAGTGGCCTACAAGAAGCAGAGGGTTACTCAGTGACCTAGAAGAGAAAATAATGGAAAATAATGAAGCTGAACAAAAGGAAAAAGACTTATGCACCATAAGAATAGACTTAGAGAACTGAGTGACTCCATCAAATGTAAAAATACTGATATCATAGGAGTCCGAGAAGAAGGAGAGAAAAGAAGGCAGAAAATTTATTTTTAATAATTGCTGAAAATTTCCCCCATTTGGGGAAGGAAACAGACATTGAGATATAGGAGGCACAGAGAACACCCATACAAATCAACAATAACAAGTCAACACCATGACATATCATAATAAATTTTGCAAAATACAGTGATAAAAAAAAATCTTAAAAGCAACAAAGTCCTTAACTTACCAGAGAAAACCCATAAGGCTAACTGGAGATTTCTCAACAGAAACTTTGCAAGTCAAAAGGGACTGTCATAATACATTCGGAATGCTGAATGGGAGAAATCTGCTGCCAAGAATACTCTATTCAGCAAGGCTATCATTCAGAATAGAAGGAGAAAAAAAGAGTGTCCCAGAAAAACAAACACTAAAGGAGTTCATGACCACTAAACCATACCTGCAAGAAATATTAAAGGGGTTCTATGAGTGGAAAGAAAAGACCAAAAGTGACAAAGACAAGAAAGGATCAGAGATACTCTCTAGACACAATGATAAAACAAGTAATAAACTGCACTAAATACATATATATCAAAAATTACTATGAATGTAAATGGACTAAACACTCCAATCAAAGGACATAGGTTGTCAGAATGGATAAAATACAAGACCTATCTATATGCTGCCTACAAGAAACTCATTTTAGACCTAAAGACACCTGCAGATGGAAAGTGAGAAGATGGAGAAAAATTTATCACACAAATTGCTGTCAAAAAAAAAGCTGGAGGGGTGCCTGGGTGGCTCAGTTGGTTGAGTGTCCAACTTTGGCTCTGGTCATGATCTCATGACTTGTGCGTTCAAGCCCCACATTGGGCTCTGGCCTGACAGCTCAGAGCCTGGAGTCTGCTTCACTTTCTGTGTCTCCCTCTCTATGCCCCTCCCCTGCTTGTGCTCTATCTCTCTCTCAAAAATAAACATTAAAAAAAAGAAAGCTGGAGAAGAAATACTTATATGAGACAAACTAGACATTAAAACAAAGACTGTAACAAGAAATGAAGAAGGGCACTATATAATCATAAACAGGACAATCCAACAAGATGATCCAAAAATTGTAAGTATTTATGCACCCAACATGAAAACACCCAAATATATAAAACGGTTAATAAAAAACATAAAGGAACTAATTCATAATAATACAATACGAGTAGAGGACTTTAACACCCAACTTACATTAATGGACAGAACATCTGTACAGAAAATAAACCAGGAAACAATGGCTTTGAATGACACACTGGACCTGATGGACTTAACAGATATATTCAGAACGTTCCATCCTGAAACAACAGCATACACATTCTTTTCTTTTTTTTTCAATATATGAAATTTATTGTCAAAATGGTTTCCATAAAACACCCAGTGCTCATCCCAAAAGGTGCCCTCCCCAATACCCATCACCCATACACATTCTTTTCAAGCACACATAGGAAATTCTCCAGACTAGATCACATACTAGGTCATAAAGCAGGCCTCAACAAATACAAAAATATTGAAGTCATACCATGCAACTTCATGTAACTTTATTGACCACAATGCTATGAAAGTAGAAGTCAACCATAAGAAAGGATCAGGAAAGACCACAAATACATGTAGGTTAAACAGCATGCTACTTAGCAATTAATGGGTAAACCAGGAAATCAAAGCAGAAATTAAAAAATACATGGAAACAAAAGAAAATAAAACACCATGGCCCAAAACCTTTGTGACTGCAAAAGCAGGTATAAGAGGGAAGTATGCCTACCTCAAGAAGCAAGAAAAATCTCACATCAAAACCTAACCATACACCTAAAGGAGCTAGAAAAAGAACAACAAAAGAAGGCTAAAGGCAGCAAGAGGAAGGAAATAATAAAGATTAGAGCAGAAATAAATCATATAGCAACTAAGAAAACAATAGAATAGGTCGATAATACCAGGAGCTGGTTCTTTGAAAAAGTCAATAAAATTGATAAACACCTGGCCAGACTTATCAAAAAGAAAAAAAGAGGGGCGCCTGGGTGGTGCAGTCGGTTAAGCGTCCGACTTCAGCCAGGTCACGATCTCGCGGTCCGTGGGTTCGAGCCCCACGTCAGGCTCTGGGCTGATGGCTCAGAGCCTGGATCCTGTTTCCGATTCTGTGTCTCCCTCTCTCTCTGCCCCTCCCCCGTTCATGCTCTGTCTCTCTCTGTCCCAAAAATAAATGAAAAAAAAAAAAAAGAAAAAAAGACCCAAATAAATAAAATCACAAATGAGAGAGGATGAAGACAACTAATATTACAGAAATCCAAATAATTACAACAGGAAATTATGAAAAACTTTAGGTCAACAATTTGCACTACCTGGAAGAAATAGATAAATTTATAGAAACATACAAACTACCAAAATGTAAATAGGAAGAAATAGAAAACTTGAACAGACCAATAAACAGCAAAGAACTTGAATCAGTAACAAAAAGCAAACAAAAACAAACCAAAAAAACCCACAAAAAAAGCAAAAAAAAAAAAAAAAACTGGAAACAAACCAAAGTGGAGGACCAGATGGCTTCATACGCAAATTTTACCAAATATTTAAAGAAGAGTTAATACCTATTCTTCTCAAACTGTTTTAAAAAATAGAATAGGAAGGAAAACTTCCAAATTCATTCTATAAGGCCCACATTATCCTGATATCAAAACCAGATTGAGACACCACCAAAAAAAAAAAAAAAAAAGAACTACATGCCAGTATCCCTGATGAATACAGACGCAAAAATTCTCAATTAAATACTAACAAACCAAATCCAACAACATTTTAAAAAATTATTCACCATGGTCAAGTGGGATTTGTTCCTGGGATG